AACCTCAGCAGGAACTTGAAAGATTAGGTTGGAACTTTTGTTGTGGGCGTAAGGTGATGTCAACAAGGAAGAAACTCAGAAAGATGAAAGTGGCTGTACAAAGGATACAATCAATGTCACTCAGTTGTATATTCTATAGCTTTTTTCTTTTTACAAATAAGCAGAACTTCTTTTATATGCAGAAGGAATGCAGAATCTTGAGCTGGAAAGACCTTAGAAAAATCTTACATTAATCTTTGACAAAAATGACGATATATACTAAATGAAATTTTTTTCATTATCTTTTTCTTTTTCTTTTTTTTTTAAATTTTTTTCTTTTTATTTTTATTTTGTGTGCGTGTACCGTCAAATCAGATCTGACTGGTACAGGAGGATATTGCGCCTCCTTCTCCGGCAGAGCATCTGGTGGATTCGAACCGTGTTCCTCTGGGAGTGCAGTGCAGCTTCTTGCCACTAGGCCACCAGAGCTCCCATTATCTTTTTAAAAGTTTTATGAAGTCCTATTCTTGTCTTTTATAGTTTGTGTGGTTTCTTTTTCCCTTCTCACATTTTTATTGGTTTGCATACAAATATGTGTTTCATGAATGTACATTGTGTTTCATACAACCATTTACAGTATGTTTTGTTCATGTACATTATATTTTATGCAAAAATTAATATACATTATATTTTCTAGAATTAAAACATGCCTGTCATTACCCCATCTTTTCAAGCCCACATTGAATCTTCCCTATTTCTTCACCTCCCTGATATCTCTCCCCACTACCCTCTGTACTCCTGGGGGTTTCCCTCCTTCCCATTCTTCTCCACCTCCTTCCTTTCCCCTTTGCCTTTTGAGTATTTATGCACATTATGCTCAGCCTTCTATTATTACAATAATTCTCCTGCGCAGTATTTGTCCTTATGGGGTGGAAATATTTCACTCCCCTAATGCTCTCTAGACTCTCCCATGCTCTATAGTATCTTACAAAATCAAGGCCCAGGGAAGTAACAAAGTTCCAGCAGTTCAGTCCCAAGTCTCAGTTGGTGCTCACGGCCTCCTCTTCCGCCTCAGCAGCTTTTTAAATGGTGCATGTTTTTGCTGTACATATGCTCAACAATGACAAATCAAATAACTTATTTTTTCAACATAGATGTTTGTACACACAAGACAGGCTTCTATGAATTCATTTGTACACAGATGACATTTTAGGACTAGTATTATTGGCCTCTGTTCTATTTATATCAAAGCACTTAGAAAGCATCCTAATTTCTTTTTTCCCTTTGCACGGACTCTGTGTCTGTCTATTATGTGCTTACATAACCTAAAGTTTTCTCCTGGCGACTGTGTAATCCACTTTGTGGATTAGATTGAGCTCATTTCTGACAGGCATTGTTTGCAGGCAGGTGAAAGCTCTGAGCCATTGCTGGGTGGAGCGGTTTCTTCATTTCCCTCCTTCCCTTCCTCCTTGTTTTCAGGCCACTTTGATGAAGGTGAGCTCCCCGCCTGCCTTCTTCTGCCTCTAAATTATTTATTGTCACTGTAGTTTCTCAGCAATCCAAAGAGCTTTCCTTCGTGACAGTTAAAGGGAGAATGCCTGGGTGTCTCGGAATTGAACATTCCAGCAGTAATTCTAGTTTATGGGACACGTTATAGGAAGCGAAGACTATGGAGAGGGCCTGATTACTGATTAGGATGTATGTGCCTCAGCCTCAGGTTGTTGGCCCTTTGCAGCGCTGAGGATTGAGAGAGACTGTTCCCAGCTCCAGTGGTAACTAATGTGACACCAGCCGTTCGACGAATCTCCATCAGAATGCCTTCTCTGCTTACCATCTGTACAAGGCTTATTAACTGACTTGCTCACTTGTCTCTTAATGTCTATCTTTACTGGATGGACATTCAATGAAGGCAAGGACTGGGGCATGTTTTTTGTTGTTCTTACGTGCCTTTCAGCAGGAACCAAATCATAGCTGACCCTCCAGTCAGTTTTCAGAGGTGTAAGTTGCACTGCAGGCAACTCCCCATCTTTCTCCCTTGGAGCAACTGGGAGATTCGAACTGTGTGTCTTTCGGTTGGCAGCTCACTCCTTACTCGCCAGTCCATCAGAGCTTCCTTATGTTTGCATTATTCACTCCTTTATCATGGAATCAGCTCAGTGTCACACATTTGGTGGGGTTGTTGTAGATGCTGTGAATTTGACCCCAACTCACACACAGTAAGTCTGTGGGCAACAGAAAGAAATCCTCCCTGGTCCTGAATCACCACCACCATCACCACCACCACCATCATCATCATCATCACCATCACCACCACCAACATCATCACCACCATCATCATCATCATCATCACCACCATCATCATCATCATCATCACCACCACCACCATCATCATCATCATCACCACCATCATCATCATCATCACCACCACCACCATCATCATCACCACCATCATCATCATCATCATCACCACCACCATCATCATCATCACCACTATCATCATCACCACCACCATCATCATCATCACCACTATCATCATCACCACCACCACCACCACCATCACCACCACCACCACCATCATCATCACCACCACCACCACCATCATCATCATCACCACCACCATCATCATCACCACCACCACTATCATCATCATCATCACCACCACCATCATCATCACCACCATCACCATCATCATCATCACCACCACCAC